TCTGTTTTTTGGCAAATTTTGATAGTTTTGAGACTTTTTTCTTCCAATGTCACTCTCTCTTTCTTTTCCTTATGGAATTTCTATAATGTGTATTTTGGTACCCTTGTTGATATCTCATAGGTCTCTTATGAGACCTTCTTTTTCTTTATTGTTATTTCTTTCTGCTCCTAAGACTGGATAGATTTAATTTTCTTATCTTCAGATTTACTGATTAATTCTTCAACCTGTTAAAATCCTCTGTTGAAATGTTCAACTGAAGTTTTCCTTCAGTTATTGCACTTTTAAGCTCAAGATTTTCCATGTGGTTCTTTTTTATAATGTCTATCTCTTTATGGATATTCGCCTTTTACTCATATATCATTCTTCTAGTTTTCTTCAAGTTTTTTGTTCACAGTTTCCTTTAGGTTGTTGAGCATATGTAAGGCAGTTGATTTAAAAATTTGCCTAGTAAGTCCAATGTTTGGGTTTCCTAGGGATGATTTTATCAATTATTTTTCTTATGAATAGTCCATACTTTACTTTTCATTTGCTTAGTAATTTTGTGTTTAATATTAAAAATTAAATTAAAAAACAAATTTAAATTAATTATTAATTAATCAAACTAAAATTTTAAAAATTAAAAATGTTTTATAATGTGTTCATTCTAAATATTATTTTATGTTCCCAGAGTTTGCGTCTATTGTTTCTCGAGCACTATAGTTATTCATTTCTGTAGTGACTTTTCCAAGCTTTTTGTCCAAAGACTTGTTAGGTGTGATTTCTCTGTTCTTTATCTCTGTGATTAGTCAGTGTTATGACAGAGATTTTCGTAGTTCTTAGAGAACCCCTTTACCAACAAAAATAAAGAAAAAAAGAAAGAATCATATACTATTCTCCAGTACTCTGATCTGGAGTACTCCTTCAATGCTTGACTATGCTATATACCATGTGTATCCTCTAAAGTCTGTGTTCCACAAGATTGTATTCTGCAGTGTATGGCAGAGATTTTTTTGAACACCCTAGGGGCAAAACCAAGCAAAACCTTCTAGAATTTGCAGATTGACTCCATGCTTTGTACTCCTTCGATACGTAGTCCAGCAATTTACAACTCTGCTTTAGCCTTCACTTCCTGCCTTCACTGACTAGAGAGCAGCCAGAGGTGAATGCATAGGATCTTCTCAGGTCTTTTAAGGTCATGCGTCATGCTCTGAACTTGGTGTGGCTTTTAAAATCCTCCAGTATAGGCAGGTGCTTTTGAATGCCCCGGTTTCCCAAAGAAACTTTCTACTCAACATTTCCTCCCATGCTTTTTATGCTGTATTTGTGTTTCAACCATAATCCTTTGCTTCAGTGATTGTGGATTTTTCATCAGTCTTTAAATACTTTGGAGGAATGCCACTGCTTGTCTACTCTGTGAGTTCCAAGTTAGGCAAAACAAAGACAAGCTCCTCACATCAGTCCTCAGGTAGTCATGAGATAGATAGGTTAGAACAACCAAACTCAATTCCTTGTGAGTAAAGTCTATTACATTCCTTCCCAACCCAAAAATCAGAGTCCTATATACAGGTTGTTGTCTTCAAGATCACTACAGAGCCTGAGCAGGGGCTAATTAAGGGCAAGGAAAAATACACTGAAAAATTCCTGTCATTTTAATGTTGACTTTTTCTTGATTCAGCATTAGTTTGGATGCTGTAAACCTTTGACTGCTTTCTGGAGTTCTGGCAAAGTTGATTCTGACATTTTTTGCTTAATTTTTAAATTTTCTGTGAAAGAACAGACTATTGGGGCTGCCTACTCTGCCATTTGCAGAAACTCCACTCAAACTTTCTTTTTGTTGTGCATAGCACTATTCTAGAGTAGAAGACACTAAAAAATGAGCCACACCCATCAATATGCTCAATCCACTCTGGGCTTTAATTATTTGGCATCTGACCAACTTCCCACCATGAATAACTATAATGCTGGATCAAATTTAAAAAGGAAACAGTTGTATTGATAGCATAGGTATCTCACTTTGGATAACCTAATGGAGATTTTTATCACCAAAGGATTTACTTTAAAATTTAATAATGAATAAAATGACTTCATATGTAGTCCTAGAAATGTAAGAAGTGATGAAAAGCATAAATATATGAATAAATTTAAACATTGTTTATATGAAGTAAAACGATATTTTGCTGGGTTTATAAAACAATTAAAATACATGACAACAACTGCACAAAACTCAGGAGTTGGATATATGAAATTAAAACGTTCTAAAGTTTTTGCTGGTTGGGCCCAGTTGCTCATGACTGAAATTCCAGCATTTTGGGAGGCCAAGGTGGGAGGAGTGCTTGAGTCCATGAGTTCAAGACCAGCCTAGGCAACAAATAGAGACCTCATCTCTACAAAAAAAATAAAAACTCAGTCAGGTGTGGTGGCATGATCCTGTAATCCCAGCACTTTGGGTGGAAGCCGAAATAGAAGAATTGCCTGAGCACAGGGTGCTGAGGCTGTGGTGGACTGTAACTGTGCCACTGCCCTCCATCCTGGACTGAAGAGTGAGACTGACTCAATAAATAAATACATAAATAAATAAGGTTTTTGCATTGCCCAGGAACTAGGAAAATTATTATTTTATAGTATATTCTATTAAGTCAAAGATTAATTTTATAATTACAAATTATAACTATAAAATTTTATAACTAAATTTATTACATGTATTATAATTAAAAGGTGAGGAGTAAAGTAAAACATATTCACAATTCATATGTCTGAGAAAAAGTCATATCTAAAATATAGGAAAGCCTCTTACAAATCAATAAGAAACAGACAGATAACCTGATTAAAGAATAAACACAAGACCTGATCAGGCATTTCACCAAAAAGTATATCCAAATGACACAGACATATAAAAAGGTGCCAAACTAATTTTGACACCTGGTAAATGCAAATTAAATCCACCATGTGATACCCCTAAATATTCACCAGAATGTAGAACATTAAAAAAACAGAGTGAAAAAAGAAGAGCACAAAACATAACTGAGTATATCGAGTGTTGGCAAAGATGTGAAGCAATTGAAATTTTCATTAACTGTTAGAGTGTGTTTAAATTAGTAAAACCAAAAAACTATTTGGCAGTCTACTAATGCTGAATATATGTATATGCTACAGCGCAGTAATACAACTTTTAGGGATACACCAAAATCAAATGTGTAACTATGTGTCTTATAAGACAGGCATAAGAATCTTCACAGCACCATCACTTAATTACTTTAAATAAACTAACATTAAAAAACAGTAGAATAGATAAAGCAATTTTGGAATAATATATAAAAATGAAAATGAATGGAATACTACTACATTGTTTTATATAGATCAATCTTACAAGTATAATATTAAGCTAAAAGAACCACCCAAAAGAATACATACTATGTGTGGCTATTTATAAACATTTGAAATCAGAGAAAATTAATTTGTTGGTAGGATTCAGAATAGTGGCTATATGTGTGTAGAGGTGTAGGGACTAAGGCTGAACATGATGAACGCTTCTATAGTGTTGGTAAACATTTAAATTTTGGTGTGGGTGGTGGTTACACAAGTTTGTTCCCTTTGTCATCATGGCAAACAGTTATGATTATTGTACTTCTTTTGTATATGTGTCATTCTTTTAAAAATTTTACACTTATCAATTCAAAAACATTAAAAAAATTCTATTTTACCAATTTTGGCAAGGATGCCGGAAAAGGACTGTTCAAACTCTAAGGGTAGGAATGTAAGTTGTACTACTTGGGGTAACAAATACTGGAAACTGCCAAGGGTTTAAAACGTGCATACTCTATGATCCAGTACATCTCTTGTTGGTGTCTCTACCCTACGGAATCCTTGAGAGTAAGTACAGAATGACACAGCTACACTTATATTTATGGTAGCATAGCTTCGAAGAAGAAGGAGGAGGAGGAGGAGGAAACAAATTATAGGCAGGAAGTAGAGAATGATAAAATTAAATTCTGTCTATGTTTGTTCTGAGGATGATCATATGGCATTTTAATAGGAGGGAGACATAGAGATGGAAAAATCTCAATCCTGAGTGTAAATTAATAACATCTACACATATACATTCACAGGAACTAGAAGCCATCATATAGAGACTGGGTTTGCAATTGGTGGCTGAAAAGGATATTAGCACAATCTGTAAATAGTTTCAACTTTTTTTTTGCAAGGACATTATTGTATTTTTTTAACTTAAAATTAATAATAACACTTAGAATGACTTTTGAAGACTGTCTCTTTTCTTTTCTTTTTATATCAGCAACACTGGTAGTCTCCAAGAAGTAAACTGAGTGTCAGGGACGGGATCCAAAGAATTCTCGCTGCATACCCCTTTGTGCCTTTAAAAATGAGAATGATTTAACTGTAGCCTCTACTGGGGGAAAAGCTTAATTTTAAACAAAAGATGCTCAACGTTGTGGGAAAGCAGAAATGCAAATATCATTCAGTATGACTATTATTAAGATAAATATATTGTTTACGAAATAGGAGTGCAGATTAAAGGTCCAAACAGGTCTGGGGGAAATGAGTATTCCAAGAGGAGGTGATGCTTGAGATGAGTCCTGGCATATAAAAGGAATGCCCTGTTTTCATTCCTGGAGAGCTAAGCGCAAGGTGCCCAGGACACTGAAAGCCATTCCCAGTATTTTTATTCCACAAACTACGGCCTAAACCTCCACCAGGGAACTAAAAGAAAGCGGAAGGAACAGAATCGTCGACGAAGAGGAAGCGGATGCTTATTCGGTGTGATGCAAACTACAGGAAAGTCCAACCAGCTCCCGGTTTCAAAGTCAGCGTCCCAGATTTCCCACCCATTACAGCAGGCAGGTCAGCCCGCCCTAGCCCTCCTTTTAGGGTTGTTTATTGGTCAATAGATGACTGACCGGTCTGCTGACCAATCGGCTGGCTCCGCTACGGAGGCGTTCAGCCCCCAGCCGGGTCTATGGTTCCCCGAACGGGATGCGGGCTCTGTGCGTCGACGTCAGCGTGCTGACGTCACGGGCCGGGTACTCGAGGAGGTCCCGGGGCGTCTGACTGAGGGAGGTGGGCTGCGCGTCGCCTGCTGTACTCGGCCCCCGGTCTCGCCCCGCCCAGCCCCGCCCCTCAACCCGGGAAGCGACCGCGGAGCCGCAGTCACCGGGCCAGCCTGGGCTGCCGGCCCGGAACCACCCGATGAGGTAGGCTGCGTTTCTCATCACCCTATTTAGCAGGTTGGAAAACTGAGTCTCCAGGATCAGATGACTTGCCTGGAGCTCACAAGAGGCCGGCGGACGGAGGCCGTACCCCGAGCATCTGGTTCTGTTTACTGAGTCCCGCGCGATTCCCCGGGGAGAAGAGGACTGAGGCGAGGCTGTGCTTATTATAATAGATACAAAAGTGAAGTTGCAGAATGCTGAGCCACAATGCTTTGGCAGGGATTCAGGGATGGATGTAGGTAATGATGGCCCCATTCCTTCATTCTGCGGACTCGGATGAGTCCCCCTGGTGGTCCAGCCACGTGCTGGCGCCGTGGGCCGTCCAGATGACCAGGAATGGTGACTGGGGGTGATGCCTGTGTTGTCCAGACACAGTCGGCTGCGGGCCTCTTCTGTTCATCAGGAAAAGTCGTGTTCAAAACAAAGCAAAATAAAAAAGGCACAAGTCATCCTGGCTGTGGTTTTGGTTCACTGCTTTGCCCACTCATGCGTATCTTGCCATTTTTTTGAAATCTCAGTAGCAGGCTTACTTTGGGTTTAGGGTTAGAAAGGGATTTTTTTTTTTCTTTTAGTTCAAGCATGTGTTGACATTGACATTGTGGAACTTTTCTTACCATTCTCTTAATATGGCATGCCATTTGTCTTTTGTTTCAGAGAATCACTGAATTCGTCATTGTACGCAGTAATAGTTTGAATATGTTTAGCAAGGTAACAAAGTAGTATCAGGTCTAACCTTTTAATATACTGGAATTAGTCTAGTTTTATATATCATATATCTTTGTTGGGAAAAGTTCCAAAAGATAATTCCCTTCTGTATGCCATCTACCCGTACATGTCCTTCTAGAAGCAGGATCTCACAAAACAGAATAACTTTTAGTACCCTACCCTTGCTTTCTTTCTGAATTCTGATAAGATGATAGGTAATTCATGTTCGTAAAGTGAAAGCCTGTACTGTATAATATGTTGTCATGGAAAACTTACTCTTTTGAAAATCTTTCTTGTATATGTACCTTCTAAAACTGCATTATTGCATTGCATAAAACTGCATTAAAAATGAAATTAAAACCACTTTTGAGGACTTTTCCTTACTTATGTTTGCAAAAGGATGGTGATTCTTATTATTTGGATTTATCCTTTGGATAGTTTATCTGATGAGTGCCTGTCTGTGCCATGAGTTATTTTAGGTGTTGGAGATTGAGTAGTAAATAATTTAGATAAGACCCCTGCCCTCAAAGACCTTACCTTTTGTGGAGCTACAATAAACTTGTGAACCAGAAAAACAATTTTAAAGAGTAATAGATGCTAGAAAAGATATTACAGGATAAGGAGCTTGAGCATGACTTGGGGGTGTGGGGAAATTTAGATGAGGTGGTCAAGGAAGACTGCCATGAGGGGTGACAGTTTGCATGAGACCTGAATGTTTAGCTTTCTCAGCCATGGGAACACCTGCTGGAAGTTTCTAGGCAGATAAAACAGGGCAAAGGAACTAAAGGAAGGAGGTTGGCATGTTTCAAGGGTGAAGGGAAGCCAGTGTGGCTGAAACGGAGTGAACCCAGGGGAGAATGAGGTGGAGGGTCAGTGGTGGGAGGTGACACTGGAGAAGTGGGCAGGAATTGGATGATCTTTATCCAGTGTGAGAATTGCAGACAGGTAAAGGAAGGATGATGGCATATTGCAAAAGCTTCCTTGTTTTCTTTTAGTGACACTCATAGACTCTTTCTATTTTGTTTTTATTGTGAAATCACTGCAGTAATTTGTTATATGTATTTTCTCCAGAGATCCTCTCAATGAGAAAATGTCTTCTCTTCTCCAACGCTGTGTGCAGGTTTTTTTTTCCCGTTGTTACTTTGTGCAAGACTCAAATCCTGTGCTTATCTTCACCCCCTGCTTTTTTTTTTTTGAGTTGGAGTCTCATTCTGTCACCCAGGCTAGAGTACAGTAGTGCGCTGACGGCCACCCCAGCATCGACCTACTGGGCGCCGGCAATCCTGCCGCCTCAGCCTTCCAAGTGGCTGGAACCACGGGAGAGTGCTACCACATCCGGCTATTTTTTATTTTTTATAGAAACAAGATCTCACCAAGTTGCCCGGGCTGTTCTCAAACCCAAGGGCTTAGGTAATCCACTCGCCTTGGCCTCCCAAAGTGCTGGGATTACAGCCTGAGCCACGGATCCCAGCCCTCCCTGCTTTTATCTTCTGTACTTCCAACTGTGAATCCTTTCCAGCATCATCTTTACCCGCTTTCCATTTGGAAAACACTGACCTCCAGTCCCTACTCTTTTCCAAGTCAAATGATAGGTAACTGCATTGTCAAGTGGATTATGATTTTTTCATTAGAACTTATGTTACTGACCAGGGGCATAATTCCTGCCTTTATTTAATACCTGTAGTGTGGCAGGTACATCACATACATTCTAATCCTTCCACACGTTGTAAAGGCAAATATTAGACCTTTTTGTTAGTAGAGGCAGCTAATACTCAGGCTACTCAGTACTGATGGAGCTTGGATTTGAACTCCTGTTATCTTTATTCCAAAGCCAAATTCACACTACTCCACCCTGGTGTTTCCCTGAGTATATAGCAGCGGCTACAAATCTCTATTATTTAAAATTATGTTCTATGATGTGGCATTTTAGAGATGATGTGATTCAACCCTCTCAGTTTAGAAGTGGGGCTATGGAGATGCAGAGAAAGTCAGTGATTTTCAAAACAACACAGACTGGTACCAAATTCTCACCTTGCCAATTTTCAGCCTAGTGTTTTTTCTGCTATATTTCTTTCATGAAAGTTTTATATCAAGAGGTTTATGTGTATGTAAAAATATAATATTTCAACGTCTTGAGTGCACTGTCCACAAACTTGAGGTAATTTTTAAAAGATGAGATTGTTTTTTGGTTTAATGTAATCCTTTTCCTTATTTTCTTTTCCTTTTCTGAACAATGAGCAGCTATAAACATTCTGGATGAATCTTTGGTTTCTGTTAATAGAAAGCTGTGATTTAAAAATGACTTTATAAGATTCAAGTTTTAATTTCAGAAATATTTGAAATAGAGTGTAGAATTTGTTACTGTTTTCCCATCGTGAACCTTATGCTTAGAAGTATAGCTTAGAATAGCAAGATAGCTTAGAATTTGCAGGCTCGTAGTTTCTGGTACAGTTTCTTCCTATAATTGAGGAAGCTCTTGGGTCAGCTCAGTGATGTAACGTCTCTTTCTTTAGTAATATGTTATGTTTTTAAATAAACAAATCAATTTATAAATTATATGGTTGAGAAATGGGTCACTACTATCCTAAATTTAAAATTTCCCATGATTTGTTTCTAAGGTTTGCTTATTTGAGCAGTTATTATTGGAATATAGTGGATGAATAAGAGCCTAATAATTGCTTAAATTTGCTTTCTGGATGACTTTTCAGTTATTCTGTAACTTAATGGAGTTTTTTCTTTTTCACTAGTCATAGGAGAATAATATTAATGGACTTAGTATCTTTTTTCTTAAATGTGAAAGATATTTAAATTTAGGCAAAAGAGAGCTTTTGCTCTTTAAGCCAAATTATCAAAACTGGATATTTTGACTCATATCTCTTACCTTTAAGATTATCATATATCAGTGCCCACATTCTGAATTCCCAGGCCATCATGACTTGACCCAAGAAATAGAACCATTCTTCACCATGAACCCAGTGCCCCACAATGGAGTCCTGGTCTTTGCCTTGAGCTTTCCATCTTCCATGCCATGACTCAGGTTGCACCTGGAATGTCCTCTGGATGGATAACTCAGGCAATCTGCTTAGATACTACTTTCTGGGAGTCTTTCTCTGTAACACAGTTTACCAATCTTGGTATCTTTGGTAATGTACTTGTTAAAATAATGTCGATTTAAGCTTAAAAGACTTACAAATGTGTATTATGCATGCAAAGTTTTTGCAGATTGTAGAGATTTCTAGTTTCATTCACACCTTTATTACCTCATCTTTGAGAGTCACATTGTTATGCTTTTCTTGGCTTTAATTCCACAGACCTTTTTTCTTTTCACCTAAGGGTCTGACATGTAGAGTTTACCAAGGGGTTCCTTGAGAGGAACTCAAATCTTTGGGCTGTAAATGTTGAAGACACATTGTTGCAAATAAAATCATTGTTTATGGTATAAGAAAATACTAACAATGATTTTAATCCACTTTTTAATATTATAGATGAGAAAACTGAGGCCCATAGAGACTAGCTCTTTGTTACTTGCAGTGTTGGGACAGGAAACCTGGTTAATACTCCTGGCTTATGGCAGTGGGGGATTGTTGCAGACTGTCATTGGTTCTGATGTCCTGCATCAGATGTCCTGGCAACCTCTAAAAGGATGTATCAGTACAGCTCAGGCCTTTCTCATTGTTTCACTTGCCTTGTTTGTCAGCTGACCTGGATCTAGAAGATACCTCTTGTCGTGAATCAAGATCGAAACCTGAATTTTCACAAAGGATCCCTGACTCTAAGCTGTTTAAACCTGAAGGATCTTCTTAGGTAGGCATTGGTGTAGCATGAGGTTCAGTAACTCTCTCCAGTTTATTTAAAAACCCTTCTCTCCTACTTCTCCTCTAGTGACAGTTTTCTGAAAAGTATTGTGGGACTAGTGAGCATCCTCAGTGTGTAAAATCTGTAGTTTGGAGGAAGTTGGCCCAGAACTGTCTGAGTTGTGGAAATCACATGTTTCTTTGTTCTGTATTTTACAGGACAGTATATATTTCAAATATTTTATATTATTGCAAGCCAGAGTACATTCTTGTTTGCTTTTTGTTTCAGGAAAACTTAATCTCAGAATTGCTTTTTTGAATTAACCACTTGCCTGTTGAGCTAATGGTATGGAACCAGAATTTCAAGTACCTTTTTCTATTTTTTATAGTATGTTAAATTTTTCAAAAGTAACACAAGGAAGTATTCGAATTTTCTCCAGCTGAGGTAGGAGCATTAGCCAGGACTTACTTTTGGCATTATTGGTAATAACTAGTGCTTCCAGAGGTCTTTCTTTGTGCCAGAAACTGTTCTAAATGGTTTCTGTCAGGGTTTCTGTCCTCAGCACTCTGTCCTGTGCATCCTAGGATGCTCAGCAGCATCTCTGGTCTCTGCCCACTAGATACCAGTGGCACCTCCTCTAACCATGACAACTAAGAATGTCTCCAGACATTGGTAACTTCCTCAGGGCTGGGGGGCGCTGGGTAGGGTAGGGGCTAGTGCAGAATCCTCTTCTCTCCCTGCGGTACCCCATTGAGAAGCACTGTTTTATATAAACTAATTTATTCCTCACCACCACTTTCTAAGGTAAATCGTAGTATATTTGATCCCATTTTACTGCGAAGAATTTTAGGCGTAAAGAGGTTAAGTAACTTGTTAAGTTACATAACTAGGAAGCAGCACTACTAGATGGATGTGAAACCAGGCAGTGCTCTCAGTGGACCCCACACAGCCAACTCAGACTGGCCAGCTGTTAGGGCTCTAAAAACCCTGTAAGCCAGGGGGAAAACAAATGCCAGCAGGCTGGAGGTAAGTGAGGTAGCTGGTGGCAGACTGGTAAACTGGTGAGTATTGCCAGTATTGCTTATTTTTCAAGAGATGCTAGAATTCTTGGTTTTATTTATGTGAAAAACTTTCATCTTTTAGTATTGGCAGATAATTCAGTGTTTAAGAAACACCGTGCAAGCCAGCAGACAAATACCGTCACCACT